CTTCAAGGGTGAAGAGAAGGGAAGGCGTGAACGTGAGCGCGCACAGAAGAAGGAGTTCCTCGACATCGACTACAGCTTCAAAGAGCAGCCTCGTGAGTCTCGTGGCCGTGGCGGCCGTGGAGGCGGCCGAGGACGAGGAGGCGATCGTGGGGACTTTCGTGGCGGCCGTGGGCGAGGACGTGGCGACCGTGGTGAGAACCGAGGGCGAGGCCGTGGCGGCCGCGGAGACGGTCCCCCGGTTGCAGTCGACGACGAATCTGCTTTCCCTAGCTTGGGTGGAAAGTAACGTCGTACATCATCGCCGTCGTCCAACCTCAGAAACAGCAAAAGGCGCAAGGCCAGCACCTACCATTCTCTTCGACATGGAAAACTCCCCACCGACTTTTGTACTATGTGAAAAGCAACACTCGTTGACTCGATCGCGTCAAACTACTTGTACTGGCGACTTCGGAGGCAGAGAGCAAAGCATTTGCAGGGAGAAAGATCGGGTTATTGTTTTGACCAAATGGCAATGAATCCACACCAAAAAGAACATTTGAGCAGCAGACGGATCAATGGAGAAGGAGGGATTTTGTTCTACCATCTCGAGCAATTCCATCTGGCTAGCTTGGAATTTGTGTAAGATAGGAATTATCCTTCCTCGTTCCTCCAAAGGCTGTTGCATTCAGAATGGGATTTCAATTGATCCTTTGTCTTTGCCGTGTCCTGTTCAAAAGTATTGGTCTATTTTTCTAGCCCTCATCGTCTGTCTCCTGAGATTCTCCTCGTAGAAGGAGTACAGTATAATTCCCGAGGGTTGCTGACCGCACAACTGCCGGAGGGGAGAGGGAAGCAGGATGTATGTATGTTGCGCGCATGTCTGTCTCTTTGATGTCATATCACCAGTACCCATTCTCCCTGGTGGACTTTTGCGAGGGGACGTGTCCCTTGTGTCCATTGAGTGCCTGTGTCCCCATCATCACTGACGGCGATCCGGACGATCAAAAATATCCCGTGAGCCCGCTTCTAGTGGTTTCGGCTCCATGTCGGCAGTTGACAATCTCGGCATCAGGATGGTTCATTTGAGGCAGGCCTGTCGGTCAGCGTGTTCCAGAGGCACCAGGAGGGAGCAGTCAATGGCGCATGGTGCAACCATGGACGGAGGTTCAGTCGGCAGTTGGACCTCGAGACCATCTGCCGAGCGTCGCCTGCGGCTACCACCCAGCAAAGGCTGGTGGGCAGATCCATCATCCCAAACCTCAACGCCCAACGCTGCTCGTCTCTCTTTCGTTGCTGACCACGACCTGAGATGCTCGCCGAAAGCCTCGAGAAATCCATTTTCCCCTTTCCCGGTGCTGGGTCTGCGACTCTGGCACCCACGCCACACCCCACATTCATTGCCGCTCTGAGCCGAACTTTCCACTGGGACCCCAGAGTTGCCCTTCTTGTTCGCCACGCCTCCCCTTACTGGCTTTTGACGTCCTTAAAGGCCTCTGTTAAAGCATGTGCCGTGGCCATGACGGCTTGCATCTGGCAGGACTGCGTGACGGGCCCCGACTGGACCATGGCCACTAGCAAGCCCGTCTATTTGCTGGCCTTGCGTGTTGAAGGTATAGTACGACGCTTGTGTAGGGCCCGCTCCATGGCCCCCTTCGTGCAAAAGTGAACTGCCGAAGCTCAATGGGCCACTTGACTCTTTCCAGTATCAGCCATGGCTGTTGAGATCGGATGGATCTTGATTCTCACGGTGACGGAACCAGGTCTCGGAAATGCCGTTTGACGTCCACGGTGTTGCGAGGAGTTACATGTTTTCGCTAAAAACGACTCGACTTATCATATTTCCCTTCAACCAAGGTAAAAAGGTATTGTCGTGAACCCTCGCCACTGATTCAGCCGCATCTTTCCCCTTTGCTCATCGATACTGCCTAACCATGATCGAATCCATCCTACCGGCCATTGTCAACAACTGGCCCATAGCGCTGGTCGTTGTTGCTGTGGGCTATCTCCTCAGCAATTATTTCAACCATGGTCTGAACAAATATCCCGGACCAGTATTGGCGAGGTTTACGGATTGGTGGAGGTTCTTTGACGTATGTGGACGACGACCAGATATTACGCATCTCAAATTGCACCGCGAGCATGGAGATGTTGTTAGACTTGGACCGAACACCCTCTCATTCGCAAGCCCCAAGGCGTTGAAGACTATCTATGGCCTGAACAAGGGCTTTGTCAAGGTATGACCCTCTTCGATTTCTATTCGGCATCTACTGAATGGTTTTTCTTAGTCTGGATTCTATCCGGTACAGATGGGCGTCAGCAAGGGCAAGCGATTGCCTTCCCTATTCTCCACCACTGACGAATCGTATCATGCAAACCTGCGCAGATCCGTCAACAATGCATTCGCCATGAGCCAATTGGTTCAGTATGAGCCCGGCGTCACCGAATGTATCGAGGTCTTTCTGGACCAGACGGAGAAACTCTTCGCTAGGCCAGACAAGGTCTGTGATTTCGCAGAGTGGCTTCAGTATTTCGCGTTCGATGTGAGTCTTGATGGTCGACACAGTACGGCTGGTTCTGATCGCACTCCAGGTCATTGGATACATTACATACAGCAAGCGCCATGGCTTCTTGGAGAGAAATGAGGATGTCGACGGCATGATTGCATACCTTGGGCGGCTATTCTCCTATGTGGCACCGGTCAGTGTCTGGCATTAAAATGGAGGTCACCAAGCTAATTCGCCAGCAGGTTGGGCAAATGCCATGGCTCGACCTTCTATTTTTGAAAAACCCACTGGTTCTCTTGCTTGACCGACTTGGAGTCAAGCTCTTCGCATTTCCCATCGCCACATTTGCCGTTCAACGAATGCAGGAGAGGCTATCCGAGATGGAGGCGCAGGGCATTGAGAAAGGAACGGACAGGCCGGATCTTCTGTCAATGTTCCTGAAGGCGCAAAATGATCGACCAGAGTTCATGACCGACCAGAGAGTCCTAACCATGGCGGTGTCGATGGCGTTCGCGGGGTCCGAGACTACCGCTATCAGCTTGGCGGCTGTGTTTTATTATCTCCTCCGCAACCCGCGGTGCTATGACAAACTGATGCAAGAATTGAATGAAGCCGTCGAGGAGGGGAGAATTGTGGATAGACCCACGGGAACGATCACTTGGACCGAATCTCAACAACTCCCTTACCTTGACGCCTGCATCAAAGAAGCGTTCAGAATGCACCCAGCCGCAGGATTGCCCCTGGAAAGAGTCACCCCTCCGCAGGGGATCGAAATCGATGGCCACTTTGTCCCCGGGGGGACGATTGTCGGTTGCAATGCGTGGGTTATCCACAAACGCGAAGATGTCTTTGGATCTCAGATCGACAGCTACATTCCTGAGAGGTGGCTCGATGTTGGAAAAGAGCAATTGAAGGAAATGAACGGCACACTGTTCCAGTTCGGAGCCGGTTCCAGAACCTGTATTGGAAAGAATATCAGTTTGCTGGAGATGTACAAGCTCATCCCGGCATTCCTACGTCGCTTCGAGGTGAGTGTTCGCCGAGAGACGCCGACTTGACACGATTCCCCTAGTCACAAGGCTGACATGAAGTCCTCTTCAGGTACGTTTCGATAACCCCAACAAAGACTGGAAACTGCACAATGGTGAGTCCTCTCAAGATAGGCCCTTATTATTCGGTACTCATTGAAGCATAGCCTGGTTTGTCAAAGAGCACGACTTCTATTGCCGCTTCAAGCCACGAAAACTGCAATGAAAATGTGCTCACAGCTTTCCACATACCACGGCCCACGACAGAGATTTGGCGTCATGTTCGAGATATTGTCGGAGAAAATGTCCCAGGCCAGCAGCTTACGATCAAATGAAGTCAACTTGATTAAATTCCCCTATGTATCGTCCAAACTAATAAATCGGAAGATTTCTAATCTCTCGGGTGGAAGTTTTGTATATACATACCTGGCCCGCAAATGGTGTAGCCCAGTTTCAGACACCGCTTTTGAGCTCTCTTCATTTGCCCTTCGTCGCAAATCCTTATATTCCGCATCATCTCCACATCATCTCCACCGGCTGACCAACACATCTTGCTGCATCACGAATTGATCAGACAAATTGGAAATATCTGAGAGGGATCAATGCAGTCCATAGTCACGTGATGACAAAATTTCTCGCCCGATAGACACTATGCCCGCATTGCTCGCAGAGCCTGATACTGCCGAACAGATGAAGTGGGGGGATTGAATACTCGCTGGCTGGGACCGATGGCCCTTCTTCAGGACCTGACTAGGATATCTCATAACCTCACCGGGCATATGCTTATTCGCAAAGGCTGTCCAATCTACAGAGGTCATCTCCTGTTCTGCTTACCCACCTTTCCGGATCCCAGACACAGGGCAGTACGCAGGAGCTGCCAGACCGTGTCAGAACTTGCATTGATTGGTTCCCAGAAACGACATACCTTTCGGCCAGCGCCCGCATACGAAGAAGGAATCCGCCAGCAAATCCGCGACGTGGATTTTCTGTCGGCCGAGTCCCCCCTCCGTGTTTTGCCCTTGCATTAACTAATTACCTATGAATCTATCCAAATAAGCCCAGAAAAAAAGCTTTGGACGGGCCGAAGCAGAACCAGCTCCTGCAGCTTCCAGCTGGCTTCCTTCGAGTCCTTATGCGGGACTCTGAGGCCACCTTCATCGCGCCTGACGGGGCCAAAGGCCATGGACAGATATGCAACCGGACCGAGCAGTATTTTGATTTTTAATGCAATTCGCTCTTGGCGCGGGTCGTATTTTGTGATCTTGGGTGTTCAATGCAGGTAAGTCGCAAGATAAAAGGGCCTCAAGGCCTCCCTTCGCCTAGTGAGCTGTTTTTTTCCACATTCTCAGGCTGTTTTGTGACTTCTACTTTCGTGGGAGAGAAAACGCCCTACCGCTTGGTTCCCAGCGAAACTTGACAAAAGTTACCTATCCTCATCTCCAGTTGAACATCTCCATACACTCGCAACAAGAATAGCTCTTCAGCGACCATGGGCGGATCCGACACATTCTTGGACCTCGTCAAGGGCCGCCGCTCCATCTACAGTCTGTCGGCTGAGTCCACCGTCCCGGATTCCAAGATCGAAGAGATTGTCAAATTCGCCGTCACATGGGCGCCCTCGACATACAATGTGCAATCGGCCCGTGCGGTGGTTCTGTTCAAGGAGAACCACGCAAAACTCTGGGACATCGTCAAGAAGCACATGGACCAGGTGCCTCTGGACGAGGGGATGAGAGCGTACATGGATGGTCGAATTGCCGGATGGAAGGGCAGTTATGGGACGGTGATGTGGTTTGAGGATCAGGCGGCGTTGGATGCGTTGGGAGAGAAGAACGCCATGGTCAAGCCCATGTTGACTGAATGTGAGAGGACACGCCCTTTAGGCTGAGCTGCGTTTGGTTTAAGGTGTGTGCTGACGAAATAATGCCTCCTACAGGGTCTGATCATTCCACTGGCATGCATCAATTTATCGGTAAGTCAAAATTTGGACCCCAAGAACCCCACATCCTCCGTCTTCGTCGCTTCTTGTACGTACTAATTCTCTCCTTCGCTTGCAGTCTGGACTGCTCTCGAAGCCGAGGGCCTGGGCGCCAACCTCCAACACTTCAACTTCCACCCCGGCATCACGGCCGACATCAAGTCAACTTTCAATATCCCCGAGTCGTGGAAACTGAAGGCTCAATTGGTGTTCGGCAAGCCCACGGGCGGACCACAGGACAAGACGTTCGAGCCGCTGGAGAAGAGAGTTGTCGTGAAGTCGTAAGGTGGTAGCAGCGCCTGACACAGCGACTAGACAGCGGCAAAGGGATGCGACGAATGCGACGAAAATGCCCTCATGCCCCGCTATGATCTTGACTTTATGTCGCGTGCTTTAGCAGCGAATGGCTAGATAGGTTCGTTTCGCTATAAGGAATTTCAGGAATATTTCTTTGTGCAAAATTGCACCCATTGAGATCATATCGCTGTGCCTCTATTGTCATTTAGTCAGGCTACGAAGTTGCCCGATCTTGCATTCGCTCGCGCCGGCAATACCACGAGCATCCAACTCGAAAGATGGCCACATTGGACAGGGCCCCTTGGTATTAGCGATTCAGTGGGTCAAGGCAGGCGTGTTGACGATAGGCGAGGCTTGAGGCGATGAACAACAGATCATACCACCGGCAGGGTGGGTTGGATGATGTGTACCGAGTGCCCTGTACGTAGTACTTATATGTACCTACGGTACTGTAGCCCCTGGATGACAAGGCGAAATATGAAATTGGCAGCCTTATTTCCCTCTGGACGCCAAGAGCCAAATCTGGTATAGTGCGTCTTTTCTTATCCAACCCTCTCACTCCACCAACTTCAACTTCAACTTCGAATCAACTGCCCCTTATTGAATCATCGCTCTCTTCCATCCCCCTCACTCGTTAACCCCTTCTACCTGTTCCGTGATTTCTCTCTTCTTCCCTTTCGCGATTGTTTTTCTTTGCTCTCTAGTCTCGTCCAGACTAGACTGTATATGAAGGAAAAAGGGGGGGACTGTTACCAATTCTGGATTGTGTTGCCTGACCGGAGAACTCGGAGTGATTCTGACGAGCGGGTCGCCCAAGGGCCCCCCTATCCACGACAATAACCCCAGGTGCACGCGACTAACGGGGTGCCTGGCTCACTTTCACGTTCAGCTTCTCCCAGTTATTCGATTATCTTGAATAAGCTGGGTGCATTGGTATCATCACCCTCTTCTTTCATTTCGACATAGCACTTTTCACGCCGGGTCAGGGTTGTCAAGATGCTTGGGGCCTTTTTGTCGTTGCCAGCCACGCTGGCACTCTTATTCCTCAGCACCCTCACCATCGCTTATCGACCACTCCAATTCGTCAAGCATACAGGGCAGTCCGGCCGCGCAGATCAGGCTTTCAGCATGGTAAACTACTTCAATGAGACCACGCAACAGTCCGACCTGTACATCCGCATGTGGATGTTCCGGTATAAATCCTCCAACAAGGGCTGGGCCTCCCTGGGACTCGGACCACAGATGAAAGGCGCTCTTATGTTTATTATATACGGTGATCCTAACTCGGAGGATAAGTCGATGACCTTGACCGTAAGGACTGTGGACGGACATCATCCTCCTCGACCCATGGATGAGATGAAGGATTTCTACAGCGGCTATGTTCCCGAGGTAGACGTGGTGACGACCCATTTCGAGGACTACACCGGTGACTGGTATTCAGAGCAGATGCAAGCGAAGCCCTCGCACTTGGGCATCGCGGACTTCATCGTCCGCGGATACGACAAATGGGCAGCCCCGGAGCTTGCGGTCAAGAACGACACCACGAACCAAGCCATGATATGGAGTTCCAACTTCAGACAAGACTTCGAAGGGGACTTTTCGGTCGAGAGGGCCATTGATATGCACCAGTTTGGGCTAGGTTTCGGGTTTTTGTGGGTTGATCTGTTGAATGCGAGGAGCGATGTCGGATTTTTTGGCGACATCAACGAGTTAAATGATCATACTGGGATCAGTGAGACCGCAGAGCCCAAGGCGCCGACGGAAGAGGAGTTGAAGAAAGGGGATGAGATTATTGCGGCACAGAATGGCGCCGGCAGAACAAGTGAAGTTAACAGTGGAAGTGGTGAGGGCGACTCGAAAGAAGCGGTACCCGAAGACCCTGTGGATAAAGAGGCCGATGAATCAGCGCCGGCTCCCACAGATGCGAGTCCCGATAGCGACACTTCCGCACCCGGATCCGACGATGGCAGCAAGGTCGAACAGCCGGTCAAGTCGGTCAAGCAGTGGAACATCAGATCGATGATGTGGTATGTATATCCCCTTCCCATGTCTCTCTGCTCTTTTATGAGTGCCACAAGGACAGTTTCTTCCTTTTTGAGATCACATTTGACCATTTGCTGTGCAATAACAGGCACCTCCATGGCTTCCTGATGACCATGCCTTTCCTCGTCGGCTACCCCTTGGCAATATACCTCCTCCGCTCTCCACGCACGAGCGCGGCAGGAACGGCGTTCAACTACCATTGGACCGTCAACTCTCTGTCTTCCATCTCCGTCTCCATCGGCGCGCTGATCGGCTTCACGAACTCTCGCTCCATCTCGATCACGCATCAGTACGTCGGCATTCTCATCGTCTGCGCACTGGCTGTGCAGGTCGTCCTGGGCTGGAGACACCACGTCATTTTCATCTCGACCGGCGGCCGCAAGACCTGGATGAGCACCGTCCACGTCATCCTAGGCCGCGTTGTGCTCCCCGTCGGCATAATCAACGTCGTCTCGGGCCTCATGCTGCGACACTATGGCTGGCCGGTCATCTCGCTCTGCGTCGCCCTGGCTGTGGTCGAAGTGGTCGTCTTGACCCTCGTGGTGGGCCAGGCGAGGAAGAGAAGGCCCGGCGCCCTACAGAAAGGCCCCTCGGCACCGACGGCCGACGAGGCAGAGGAGTATTTTCAACTAGCTGGCGACGACGACGATGAGTTCAGCGACGATGACGATCATGACGAGGAGACGGGGCGCATGAACGCCAAGGAGAGAGCCAAGAAGGAAGCGGAGCGCGAGGAGCAACGGAAGAAATTGGCCAAGTTGGATCGTGTCTAGATGGACGGACGGACAAACCGACCCTGCATGCATGCACGGGACATGTGACATGGAGACGAGACCCCCCTTCTTTTTGTCCTGTTTTGGATGTGATAATCTCGACGGGTATGAAGCTATGGCGAGTGGTAGAGCAGAGCGGGGTGAAGGAAGTTACCATGGCTTGTTTGGAGGCTTACAAAGAGGGGGAAGGGGAGGCACTTTATTGTTTTGGAGAAAACCGATTTCAGAGAGCAGGGAAGGGAGGATTATATGTTTGCCTTCAATGGCATTTGGGACGGGAGCCTCTGGTTCTTCTTCCGGTTCCTCTGGTGCTGTTGCTGGCGCTGGTCCTTCTGGATCTGGTATATGTTCTGGTATATGGTCTGGTTCTTGACGTGATATTGACAGGACATCGTCCATCTCATGCCATGCATGTCAAGCCGTTCTCGAGCACAAGGGCGGGACTCGAATACACCTGTATGTAACAGGTTGAGATGTAGAAAATCTAGAATGCTTCTTCTTAATGAAGTAGTTGAGCGCATCTATTTTGGGCATGTTACACTCGAATCCAACCCCGCCATCGGTAGAGCAGAAACAGAGTGGCGCCTCGCGATTAGGAAATCGACACGGTCATTCGCATCCTTTCGGATGGAATTGTAACGAGCATCCGTCTCATCTGCCATCATAAGCCACCCACGATCTCCCTCCACTGTGGGACAAAATCACCCGCAAAGTACGTACCCCATACCGTGCCAGCGGCGATGAAAAGCCCGCTCAGCTTCTCCGTCCAGGTATGAAACCAAATGGCCGTCATCATGAGCATCCAAAAGTCAAGCACAACTACCGCATACAGAAAATATCTCGACCATATGCGCACCATCGCCACGGACTCCGACTCCCATCCTCCTACTGCCTTGCGTTCTTCCTCGGTCATCTCGTGGGCCACCGCCGCTGCGGCTCGAGGGGAGACGGACGGATGCACAGAATGGCGGTCGGCGATGTAGATTTCGTATATGAGGAAGGCCGAAGAGAGCGCGAGCATGAATACATGACCTGAGATATCGTGCCCGCCACGCCAGTCCCCCCCTGCGGCTTTACATGCAGGGCCCGAAGCAATCACGGTCATGTCCACAGCTTCTTCCAATCCGGTGTTGTTGATCAGTTGAGGCTCACAGCGACCCCCGGTGATGGTGAAGCTGCGATCGACAAGCGCCGGGCCAAAGCACCACTGTGTGGTCAGAATCCACGAGACGGTCACCAGGCCATAGCGCAAAATGGATTGTATGTAGTGTTTGTGCGCGCTGGCTGGAGGTGGTCGAGTGGTGATCTGAAGCACCAAGAAGGCTAGAGTGGTCCAGAACCAGCCAAATTTCACAAAATATACATTGAGGATGTTGCGTTTGCCGGCAAAGTAGTTTGTTGAATGGAAGTGTTGGGTGTGCAGGTCGGAGGCGATGCCCGGAGCGAGTGATTCGGCCGGTGGGCTGGCGACTGGGGAGAGGAACGCGAAGAGGGAGCCTAGGGCGAGGACAACGGGATAGATGAGGAGGAGGTAAGCGGATGGCCCTTGCCGGGTGGAAGGCATTGATCTCGGTGTAGTTGGATGCCTGTGTTCTTGCTCTTCTTGAAGTGCGACTGTCCGGCCGTTGCGTTGTACCGCAGGCATGGTAAGAAGGAGCCGCGAGGTCTATGGGGCGGAGGAGAGCAGAATGTCAGCTAGAGCCCAACATGGCCTTTTCAAATAGTTCAAACGAAGAGGTGGCCACAAGGAGAGTGCGGCAGCGGTCAAAACAAGATGCAGAGGCAGAGACAGAGGCAGAGACAGAGGCAAAGGCGATGACGGATGCGAGAGAAAAAGACAAAGGCCTAAGGTGTTTGGTCTAAATGACGTCAACTTTGTGGTCAGGCTGGTGAGGCAAAGACTGGCTCGACTGCCCTTGACTGCCCTCGACTGCCTGCGTCTGCACGGGACCTCAACTCTCAAACACGGCTCGTTCTTGTCTGTCTCGTCCCGTCGTTGGGTTTCTATGGTCCTTTCATCAACTCGCCACAGTCTGTACCCATGTTTCCCAGTCTTTGCATGGTCGCCGGTTCCTCTCACTCTGCCCAACCTGCCGATGTACTCGGTACGCACCACGAAGCCTAGTCTGAGTTGCGATCGGTGCTGAGCGCACCGCGAGGAATTGGGCCGAGACATTGAGGAATGGAAACATGGCTGTGCGAGAGGCAAAGCGAGATTGAAGGGCTGATTGAAGACATACCAAGATACATGCTGGAAATCTGGGAAAAGAGATGTGCATGGGCTCGGCGGTGATTGCTGCTGAAGCATATCACGTTTCTCGTTTCTCGTTTCTCTTCTCTTTTTCTTTTCTTTTTCTTTGTATGCCCATGAAGGAGATAACAGAGCTGCGCATTCCAGCCCCTAGGCGGTCCTCCATGGCGCTGCACAGGGTATCTCGGTATGTAGGGCTATGGTGCAAGAGTGCGACAAGGCTGATTGGAAATTCCGTCCCGAATGTCTGTCGATGACTCTGGCGCCGCCTCGCCACCGCTTGCAAAGCCACAGCGGTGATGTCGCTACTTGTACATATATAGTATTTCGTATGCCTGTATGCCTTACTCTTCCCCGGCTCCACAGAGTCGACATGGTCTTTTCATAGACCCAATCAGCAGCTTCAGGATCCATGTCTAGTGCTGTGCTACCTGGGCCGGCTGATGCGTCGAGACAGCGCGGGAATGGTGGTGGTACATACGCTGCAGATCAACCCACAGTTAGAAGGGCCGTCATAGCTATTAGAGGACCGAGTAGCCTGTTTAGTTTGCTGGGTCTGAATCAGCCATCAAAAGGAAGATGAGCTGGGGACTTGCAGCAGCAGGCAGAAAGTGAATGCGTGTGGTTGAATTTTCAGGCTTCAGCTTGAAGCTGCCCGTCTTCACTGTTCACTGTTTGTCGCCTTACAAATCTGCACGACACGAGAGACCAGAGACGGCTTCACCGCATAGTGGCCTGTCGCCTGTCGCCTGTCGCCTGTTGCCCTGGTTTCGCATTCCCTGTGTGAGACTCTGGCTTTGCATATCAGCTGTCGCATATCCCCAATCGTTCATCTTCTCTCGCTCGCCCCTTGTGACAACCGGACTCCGCCCAACTCGGTTCGAAATGGATCTCCAACGAGTACGAAAATCCGTGGCTTCGGGTGGCAGCAGCCTCGTCGATCTCCCCGAATACATTATCACGTCCTTCTTCCCCGGAGCACGACCATTGCTGGACAGCCACCCGTCCTTCTTTCGCTTTTTTGGCGTTCTCCTGGCCCTCTACTACTTCGGCCCCGTCGCTCGGCTGAAATCACTATGGTCTCAATTCTCTTCCATCATTGTCGCCACCATCAACATCTCGTCTGAAGAGGACCTCTTCGGCTATCTCACTTCTTTCTTGTCGGAGCGCAGGACCCTCCGTGCGGACCAGGTCTTGAATGCTGTGTCGAACAACTCCCAGGACTCGGGGCGGCGGAGAGGTCGGCACCATGATCCAGACCTCGAAGAGACCCGAAGGGCCGCCGAAACTCCCAAAATCAAGTACGAGCAAGGCCAGGGCCTGCAGCTGTTCGTCCACAAGGGGAAGCTGTTCTTTTGTAGCCGCAAGTACGGGGAGGGCCACACCTACTATGGAAATCGCTATAAGAGGATGGAAATCATCTCTCTGTCGTGCCTCGGCCGCTCGACGCAACCCATCAAGGACCTAATTGAACATGTTTACTACCTGAACAAGGCCAAAGAACGCTCTTTGACTATCATTCGCCGACCCTATCGGGGAGGCCAGACATGGAGCCGAGTCACCTCGAAACCCCGGAGAGCGCTCGACACGGTCATATTGGATGCCGAGCAAAAGGAACAGGTCCTCGCAGACGTGGCCGAGTACATGGACGAAGCAACCATGACTTTCTACGCGAACCACGGTATTCCCTACCGACGCGGTTATCTGTTCCATGGCCCGCCCGGAGTGGGCAAGACGTCGTTCGCACTTGCCCTCGCTTCCAAGTTCAACCTGGACGTGTATAACCTCTCGTTACTCGACAACGACCTGACCGACTCGGATCTCATTTCGCTTCTCAACCAGCTCCCCGGCCGATCGCTGCTGCTGCTGGAAGACATCGACACCGCCGGTCTGAATAGAAAAGGAGGGAAGCCTACCACGTCGTATCGGAGTAGTCGGCGCATGAGACTGCCCCCTCGCGATCCTGACGACTATGAGATCGGCAATGACGAAGAAGGCGGCAGTGCGTCACGCGTCACGCTCAGTGGCCTGCTGAACGCGATTGATGGAGTGGCGGCGCCAGAAGGCCATGTTTTGATCATGTAAGTCAATCCACTCCCACTTTCCGCATTGGAAGAGCAGGAGGACTCGCCTTCACATTCGCGGAGCTGTCTCCTTTATCACTCCCTGACCCAGTCCTACATTCATCGATGTGACAACCATGCTAACGGCAATTGTGAAGGACAACGAACAAACCGCATGAACTCGACGACGCGCTTGTGCGAGCAGGCCGAATCAGTGTGAGAGTGGGGTTCAGGAATGCGAGCAAAAAGCAAGCAGAGGAGATATTCTTGAGGATGTATTTGAATCTGCCGAGCAGGGCAAGCTTGAGAGGTATGGAGGAGGCTGCAGCAGGAGCAGCGACAAGGACGACAACTGTTCCTGGGTGTTCGTCTGGGAGCGAGCCTCAAAACGGGGACTTCGATCTGCCCGACAACTCGGAAACCACGCGTCTCCGCCTTCTCGCCCACAAATTCGCCTCGCTCATTCCCGAAGGCGATTTCTCACCCGCTGACCTCCAAGACTACCTCCTCATTCACAAAAAGGACCCTGAGAAGGCACTAGACGAGTTGCCGAAGTGGATGGAAAAGTTGTATGAGGAGAGAAAGAGGAAGGAGGATGAGAAGGAGGAGGAAAGGGAAGAGAAGAGGGAGAAGAACAGGGAGGAAAGAAGAAGATTTAGAGAGGAGGTGAAGAGAGCTGTCCAGGGCGGAGAGGGGGACGGGGACGAGGATGGGGATGGCGTCGACGACAAGAACGAAAGGAAGGATGATGGGCATGAGAAGAAGAGCCAAGTGGAAGCCGAAGGAGATGGAACTGTTGCTGCTGCCAGTGACGAGAAGAAGGCCGAGGACAAAGGCGTCGAGGAGAACCACGACATCCCTGCCCAGAAGAGGGACGCCGCTCGAGAGGAAAAGCCTGATGACGCCCAGACCGAAGAGGGAAAAAAAGACACAATCACACTCTCCCCCCGCATCGAACCTTAGATGATTAGACCGTTGTCGAATCAATGCGCCTGCTGATCTCGACCGGTCGTCCGGCTGCCTGTTCGGCTTCATGTTGCGTCGAACCGCGTTGGATTTGATAATGGGTACGGAGGGCCTTGTATCGGTGTGGTTCCCCAACCTCGCCTCGACCTCGACCTCGACCTGGCAATGAGTAACCGAAAGAATCCAAGGTGCGAGAATTTACGATACAGCCACGCATGTACTGGCTGGCACCTCGGGCCCGAGAGGCGCGGTGTTGTCCTTGCTCCAGACTGTCAGGTTACCGGAGTCGTGCAGGTATATTGACGAGCCTGCCCCCGAGCATTGTGACGCAAAAAAAATAGTGCGTTTCATTAGAGTGTCATCATGACAACAACACGTCGGTTGGAAGAGTTACATACATAAGGCACATACATAGGAAAGAAATTGACGGGGAGAACCGAGTCGTGGTATCCTGCTTCCAAACCCCGGATCGGGCGTCCTGGCTGCAGTAATTGTGCAACGACCACCTGGCAATAGATAATGTAGAGCTAATTCCTCGGTTACAAGCCTTTTCATTCACTACCGACGGCACCGAGACAGGACAAGTCGACTCATCTGGCACACCAAATCTTCTGACCCCTTCCTTGTCCCTAGGGATCACCCAACATGTCTTTTTTTGCTGTGATGATCGCATGCTCAACCAGGTAGTGGGTTGAATTTGTACCGGTGCAAGGAAGCTGTATGTCGCCGCCCACTCGCTCCTGTGGGCATTTTAGAACACGAATGGAATCATCCTCCATCTCTTGATAATCTCCCAGGCCCTGTCGGGAAATTTCGTGCGAAGCCATTCCTTCGTCCCGGCCGCCGTCACACCAAGGTTGACCGTGACGAAGACCAGGGCGCAGAAGAGCGTCCAGTTTATGGATGTTGTTGCTGGTTTTTGATTGTAATGATACTGCTGAAGGTGGTGGTGGTGGTGTTGTTGAGAAGGGGGCGCGTCTACGACGGCAAGACTGAGGTAAATGAGACATTCGGCCGTGTAGTGCGGCGCTACTATCCATCGGAACGCATGTTTCTCCGGCAAAGTGTATTTCTTCAGGCTCGACAAGTAGCGGTGATAGAGATTTTGTCTGTCGCTGGCCCAGAAGAAGACGATCGTGCAGATGAGAGTCTTGGACGTCCACAGAATACTTCCTTGATTCCTGTCCGAATCAGGCCGCGACGGTCGAATGAGGTTGGCATCGAGATGCTCAACCCAGATGGCGATGTTTGTGGCAATGTAATATGCCATGCCAATGGCATAGTGTCCTATCCACATCCGCGATTTGCTCTGTTGGGTAAGGACGAGACATTCAACTAGTCTTCGACAGCCCTGAACAAGCATCAACATCGAGCAGAAAGCCGGGATGTCCGTGTCCTGATTCTCGGTCGTCCCTGCATATTGATGGAAAGTGAACAGACAAGCCAACGAGCATGCGATGGAGAGGATGTAGAAGTGAGTGAACCACGAATGAGGGACGGTGAAAGTAGCAACGTAGTCGAGGAACTTTACGCCTACCGAAGGCTGCTTCTGCTTTCTGTCCTCACTACCGCGAGCTGGGTCTCGCGCACGCGCACCGTACGCGAGGAATCGGTCTCCGAGCGCAGGAATCAGGCGGACTGCGAAGATTGCAAGACTGCTGAGGAGATAGAAGGCTCTGATCGCCCAAATGACTAGATTGAGCATTGGGTCTGGGTCTTGTTGATCATGTGTCTCGCAGTACCAAGCAGAGCAACAGAATTCGTGTTTCAGAGCTTGTAACCCATGCAGCTCAGGGTTCAAAACAACGCCAATGTCGGCTTTGCCATCGTCCCTTCTGGCGCTTGCTGGCTCTTGCAGATCAGAAACGCCGTCGCACAGGGCACGGAACAAGCGAGTCTGGGAGCACCGGCCCGCCTGAAAGTCAAAAGCGAACAATAATAATACGAGCCTGAGGAGATACGACGAGTGATCATTGAGTGGTGGAATGACGGTCTACGTAAGTGGCCAAGGTGAAATCTGGTTTGAAGAGGGATGGAAATTGGGCTGCTGATCAAAGATCCGTTGACTGCCGGAAGGTTCTGCCAGGGACGCCTCCGACTGGTTAAGCTTCGGGGGGGCCCTTTGGGGGGGTCAGATAAGTGGCCTGCCCCTAGTAGGCTTTTTTTAGGCAGCAGCTCTGGTGCCAGCATCGCCGGGAGGGCCTGGAACTGCGAGTGGAGAGCCGCCAATTCCAATGTGAGCCCCCATGAGCCAGGCAAGGTCTGGGCAAACTGGGGGACGGCCTAGTGAGGCTAGTGAGGCCTCTCACGTGAACTAGATCTGGAGCCACCAAGGCACCAAGCAGGACTTGGAGTGGAAATCGAGTTTCGTCTTCCCCCGTCTCTTTGGCCTTGTGTTTATGTGCTGCACAATGTGGTGAACCCATCAAAAAATCCACCCAGAAGACACCCTCCATCTCCCTGCACCGGGACAGACATTTCTCCATCGACCTCAACGCTCGTCCACCGCTCTAAGACGCTATCGCCTGCCCGGGACTGCAAATCTCTAGCCCTTCACCGCCGGTGCCCGTCAACGCCTTCTGCCCCCCAGCCTCCCACTCCATCCGCAACATCCAGTTCCCGTCCAAAACGGCAGACGACACCCTCCAAGGTAATAATGAAGAGGAGGCGAACACCGTTATGACTGATGCGCTCGGCTCCCACGAGTCTCAAAATGCCACCCTCCAAAAGACCACCGACCAGGCAAACACTGACGAACCACCGAATGCACCTGCCATCGTGCCAAAGTCTGAAGAAATGACCTCAGGTTCAGCGCCTGCTGAAGGCGCCGTTGACCAGGTCATGACTGACGCACCTGTTGAGGCCGATGCAGATGGCGATTCGGAGGCAGAGACGTTGATTCAGTCACCAGAGAAGCAGAGGAACACCGCTGATAACACACCTGTAGCAGGATCGGCAAGTCTGACCAGGCCCAAAGATGGGGATTCGACTGCTGAAGCTACTGCGACCGAAAATGACAACAGTTCCAGAAAGCGCAAGCGTAGTATTGATGATGTGCAGGACGGTCCCGCGTTTTCCACCTCCAGTCGTCGCAGCTCACCTTTATCATCGCCCCGAATACCGCCGCTTTCCCCAGATAGTGATTCAGATGTATCGGTCCATATCGTATCGCCAAAGCCAAAGCCAGCGCGACGGAAGCATGAACACGATATCGCCGATCTGGGTGATGCCGAAGGCAAGCCAGTCAAGAATCAAAGTAGCAAGCGTCGCCCAAGCGATATTCTGCCTCCGATAAGCAAACATCGCACAAAGAATAGTAGTGGCGGAGTGGACCCAACCTCGTCAGAACGCCGCGAAACCAGGTCAGCTACTTATCCGCGCCATTCTTCGCAAGACCGCTCTCCTTCGCCAAGGCCGCAAAGGCGGGAGCATAGGCGTGGTATATCAACCCAGTTGACGCTTGGCGATGTTGAGAGGAAAAAGCACGGTCGACCTTCGACAGTGCTCATTAGACGAAGTGGTTCGGCAGACAATAGTCGTGACCGGTCGGTCTCTTCGGACGTGTCAGATTCCCCTCGACAGCCACGACCAGCGCCGCTGCACAAGTTCTCGTCTGCCGAGCATGATACCATGTCGCCGGCGAAAGCTCCTGCTGGCCCTCGCAAGTGGCGCGACAAGAACGGTAGAACCTTCCTGTCACGGGCCTGTAGTAATAACGACCTGGCGGCAGCGAAAGCCAAATTTGCCGAAAGACCAGAAGATCTCAACCTTCCAGACAATGCAGGCAATACTCCACTTCAAATCGCCGCGCTCCAGGGCTATGTTGATATTGTGAGGTTCTTGCTGGAAAAGGGATGTGAAGTCGATACTCGCAACATCGATAGAGACACAGCACTTATCGATGCGGTTGAAAATGGTCATGTTGAAGTTATCAGACTTCTTCTTGAGTATGGAGCGAATCCACGAATGGGCAACGCTAAGGGCGATGAGCCGTACGAACTCGTTCCTCAAGACGACGAAAACTATGAACAGATCCGACGGCTGCTTGCCGAAGCGAAAGAGAAACCTAGTAACAGGCGTGTGTCTTCGGAGCACAACGACATGGCTCGAGACGGGAATTCATCAAGAGCAGCGTCTGCTGCTAGTCCCCGCGATTCACCGCCCTTGATGGGTCCTAGAAGTCCCCCGACTGCTTATGGGAGGCGGAGAACCGGTCGAAGCGAATCGACTCGAAACGATCTTCTCTGGCAAGCGAATACTCAGGAAAATTTGAAAAAGTTGGCTGGAAAGGGGGATGTCCAAGGTGTGGCCAGCATCCTCAACGTGCTGCAAAAAGCGGAAACAGAGTCTCTGATAGCGGCGGCCAAAGCAGGGCATGAAGAGGTTTTGCAGCTGATTCTGGCGATGGGTGATCCCGAACCTGACCCCGACCCAATTCGGAGCCTCAGACCTGGGTACAACACTCCTATGCTTGCAGCTATCGGAAAGGGACATCCAGAAGTTGTCGCACTTCTCGTTGAGCAGTTAGGTTTCAATCCTACGAGGAAGATTCTTAAGGGGAAGACTTACTATGAGATCTCTGCCGAGCGAAAAGGTGAACGATGGCAGCAGGAATACCAGATCCTCAAGACTGCGTACGACAAATTCGTGGCCAACCACCGAAGGTTAAGTTCTCCACGAGCCACTAGAGATGTGGACAAGGCGAGAGCTCGCGTTCATCGTCATTCTCAGTCTCCGGCTTCCAGCAAACTGCAGATTTCTTCAAGCCCGACCTTGGCGCACAAACATTTAGTAGGGAAGTCACCACGTTCGACAGAGAAAGAAAAGGACCGGGATTCTGGATTTGTGGACGGTCCCGACAAGCGCAAGCAGCATGCTTCGAAGCGAGACGTCGCAGACTCATCTGTCGCGGTCTCCTCTGATCAGGACCACACCATACATATTTCTAGAAAGGCTTACATCAAACGACGGAGTCAGAGTGACTTGCCACTTCCGCCCGATCTGGACTCTGAGGTTACACATCGACGAAGACGACTCGTTACAGGTAAAGAGCATCGCAGCCGGAAAAGCAATGTAGATACGTCATCAGATGAAGAGCTCATAGTGACGGTGAAGATGGAAGACAGACCAAGTACGGCGGTGCTCAAACGAACCAGAGAAAGTGTGTCACCTGGGACAGCAGGAGCTGAGGAGGGTGACAGTGATCGCAACGCTGTCAAGAAGCGGAGGACCGTTATCGAGAGTAGTCCAGAAGAAACCCGTCCTGGTCCCGGGAACCAGAACAATCCTTCTTCATCTCCAACTCTTTCCCGCAAAACGGAAGAGAGTATTGATTTGAAGCGCCAGAAAGCCAAATCTGAGTCTACTGTGGAGGGAGAACCGACGGAGGCCATGGATACTGACAGCCCGACACAAGACATATCGTCTGACACTATTGAAGTTCCACCGCCGAAGAGCCTTCTCACTGATGCAGAGATTCGACGCGTAGTGACTCCTGAACCCATCAAAACCGAGCCGGTCGAGACGGGTCCATCCGAGACCGATCTTCAATTTCAACGAGAAGAAAAAGCACGCAAAGCTGAAGAGGCTAGGCGACTTGAGGAGGCCAGAAGACATGAAGAGGCAAGACGACTCGAAGAAGCCCGGCAGCTCGAAGAAGCCCGGCAGCTTGAAGAAGCCCGGCAGCTCGAAGAAGCCCGGCAGCTCGAAGAAGCCCGGCAGCTCGA